ATCCCATCCCATCCCATCCCATCCCATCCCATCCCATCCCCGTCCCCATCCCAATCCCTGTCCCCATCCATTGCTGCTCCCAGCACCCTCGGGCACGGCCTGGCTCACCTCCCCGCACTCTGGCACCCCTGGAATAAGCTGCTCTAAAAGACAAACCCGGTGCTTTGGTAACGGTGGTGCCTAATGACTGCTTAATACGATGTTTGTGAAGTGCCTCAAGGACGAAACACGCCCTGTGAGCACTCGGTGCAACTCACGGCGGCCCCGCTGGGCCTTCACCTGGTAGCCAGGAGCCGCTCTGGGGTCAAGGGGCCCCTCGCCTGGGTGCTGGCTGATGTGGTGACCCGTTTATTGGCCTGGGGAGCCCCGAAGTCATCTGTCAGGCCTCAAAATGGTCAGTGACTGTTGCAGCTCTTACCACAGTACGGCAGCAGCAGGGAACAAATTTGCACAGAGTTGAAAGTGCATAAAACGTCAATTTTTTGTTTGGCTGGGGAGGCGAGAGAAAGCTGCTCCCCAGCCAAACCCTAAAGGAGCAGCTGAGCCTGGCAAGGGAAATCCCTGGCAAGAGCCGGGGCTGTGGGGGGCTGTGGGAGGCTGCAGGGCGCTCGGCCGGGCCCTCGCCCACTCTGACATGGCTTTGAAAGGGAAAGAAGGTGGGCAGAGGGACTGTGTGGGGGGGAAATACTTAACAAATTAAGTCTATCGAACGTTATTTGCAGATTATGGTGCAGAATTGTGTTAAAGTATGTCCGGGCTCGTTACATGTCAGTGCTAACAATACAGCACTTGGCAATCAAGGCAGTTCTGCGGCGTTGGCCATTAATCATCCTCTGACAGTCCTGAGACGGAGCGGAGGAAACCGCTCACATGTGCTCGCTGCACCTCTTTACCCTCGCTGCAATCGGGGCAGGAGAAGTTTCCTTTGAGTCGCTGCCCACGCGAGCCCCGCCGGCGGGCGATAAGCGGAGGGTCCTGATTTCACGTCCCAGGCATTTCGAGGGGCACTTGGGGCAGGCAGAGAACAGCGCCGGCATTTCTGCCACTGCCGCGACATCTCACGGTGCCAACAAGCTCTCAGGGGAACAACCCCTCTGGGAAGAGGCTCTTGAGAAAGGGTCAAAATGTGGCATTTCGGCAGCGTTTTCCTCTTCATCCTCCATCCTCATGCTCCACAGGCTCCTGTTCACCCCCAACCCCGGGGCCGGGGGGTTTGTTCTTGGTGGGGATGGTCCCGGTGGGAGCCAGCGCCGCCGTCCTGGCACAGCGGAGGGAAACTCACCATGAGGCTTCGCTCCGTGCTCCGCGTCGTCCCGCAGACGCCAGTGCCGTGGCCAGGCGCCAGTGTGCCAGGTCATCCTCCCAGTAAATAAAGGAGCAATGTTTCCAGCCCCCCGACGCTGTTTTCTAAAGGGAAATGATTAATGGTGCTTGGAAACCACAATTCATCCCGGGAAAGAAAGTAGATTTACCCGAAACATGCGTGAGAATTAGCACTCAGATCAGCTCTTAGGGCAGAGGAGGGGAAGCTAATGGCAAACAGAGCCCGTCTGTGCGCGGGGGGAGAAAATACCCTGTGAAAAACATGGGCTGGAGAAGCTGGATGGAGTGGCTGCCAGAGGCAGTGCCCCCCCGGGCTGGAAACCTCCTCCCCTGTCTCCTTCTGCCCTGTAGCCAAGATGGTGGCGGCAGAGGAGAAGAGGAATCTCCCCGTGAGCCTCCCGACACGGCACGGGCGAGGGTGAATTCTGCTGGCGGGACCGAAACTGGTCATTCCCAAATGTCCCGGAGGTACCGGGACCAGGGAGAAGCAGGAGGGGTTTTGCACAAGACCCCAGAGAGTTCCTGACTGCAAATGCCAAATCCTTTAGAAACAGCCCCGTTTCGAGCTGGGGGGGAACAGTCTCACCCTGCTCCTGCCGGTGGGAACCACTGGGATGGCGCTGGGCTGCGCCATGGCAGATCCGAGTGTCGAGCCCTCGCCGCGATGTTCCTGTTGTCCCTGCAGCAGCCATCGAGGTGCTTCATCCCTGGGGTGCAGGAAACCTCAGATTGGGGCAAAACCCAGTTTTCCTCCACGAGGGCGGGAGGGAAGTGGCCACAGCAGCCTCGGCCCGGAGCTGGGAGCAGCGGCATCGTCCCCCCATCGGCAGGTCCGGCTGAGCCACAGGAAAGAGACAGGGGCCGGTGGGTTAGGAAATGCATGAAAAAGGCTTTCAAGCACAAATCCTGACCTGGCTCCAAGCTGCTGTGCTCTCCCCTGCTCAGGGGCTGTGCAAATGCCGGGAGAGCAGTGAGGGAGGGGAAAGGGCTCCCTTGAAAGGAAGCAGGGACCGGTGGCACGGATTTATCACCCAATCCCAGAGATAAAAACAAGATCTCTGCCTTGATCTCTGCTCTGGATCAAGGCAGTGGCCAGCCCCGCGCAGGTCCTGTCCCGTGAGCGGCGTGGAGGAGCTCAGAAAGGGCTCCAGGAGGGTGATTTATTTGTGGGATTCCGGGAAGGGCTGGGGAAGCCTCAGCGAGGTGCTGAAGCCCAGGTCAGGAGTCAGCCCTGTCTCGGTGATATATTTAGAGCGGGATAATGTAAGCGACAGGAGGAAAAAAAATGAAAAATCCGTGGAGGAGGTGCAGATCCATCCCCTTGGCCGGGGAGTTACTGGATGATCTGAGCCAGGGAACAGATAGTTGGATTTCCCTAGTTTCTCCCTTCAAATAAATCACAACTCCAGAGCCCTTTAAACTCTGCAATATGATCTGTTCCAATAAGGAAGGGAATGAAAGGCTGCGTCTCTCTGGAAGCCTCCAGAGCCATAAATCTACTATGTACAAACACATACCAGATTTCCAAGTGCATTTATTTTATTGTATTGTTTTAACAGAAAAATCAAACTGCAATAAACTCAGTCCCTCATTAGCTGTCTCTGTGTCCAGGCCAAACGCTGCTAACGAATAAAATCAGGACAAAGGAATGTGGCTGTCGGTCAAAAGCCCGGCTGGGCGCTGACCCCCCCTGAAAGGCTCTTCCCCATGAATCCCACAGAGGCAGCAGGATCGGGGGGAGCCGAGGGGCCGGTGCCTGCACTGCCCATCGCTGCGGGTTCGCTGAGGCATCACCCCAAATCCAGAACCACCCCCTCGGGACCCAGCACCCCCGCCATGGATCCGGCACCCCTGCCTGGCCCGCGCCAGCAGCTGGGGTTTAGTTTAGGGGTTTCTTGCAGTAGTTTGGTGTGGTCCCCGATGTTGTACCCCCAAGCGAGACGCTAAAGAGCGGTGGGAGCAGAGGGCGGTTTGGGGGGACACACGTGCGTGCCCCCCCCCAGCAGGCTCCAGGATACTGCCCAGCTGCCCGCGAGGAGTGGCTTGAGCTGTGTCTGAACTCATTAAGCACCGGGTCAAACAACACCCAAACTGGCAATGGGGGCAGTTTCGGAGTTGTTGGTCATTAATCATCCGCTGACAGTCCTGAAGGGTCCGGCTGCTCCGCCGAGCGCGGCTCTCCGGGGGGGACGGGAGAGCCTGGGGACGGGGACGTGCCTGGCACCGCCGGCGGTGTGGACGGCGCAGTCCCCAGCGATCCGCACGGAGCAGCCGTCGGGTTCTCCCGAGCCCCCCGAAGCCACCCCGGGGGGACAGATATGGAGGGTCCAGGCACGGAGCCACGCTGTCATGTCCCAAGTGTGGGAGATGCAGCGACTTGGTCTGATCCGGGAAAAAAAATAAAAGGAAAATAAACCCTGAGCTGCCCGGGAAGGAAAAAGGAGCCTGTCTGCAGGATTTATGGCGCTGGTGCGGCCGAGCCGGAGAGCCCAGAGCAGCGCCCGCGCCGCGCGGGTCCCGCCTCAGCCCACGGAGAAATTCCTTACTTATTGAATCACATTTGTCATCCCTAAATACATATGCAGGCCCGTGTTTCTGAATCCATAAACATCTTTAACTAACTCCGCTCAGCGAGGCCTCTTTCAGCAGTAATTTATATTTAACTTTTTCCATATGCGGGGCCTGTCGCGTTGGTGTCATTTCCGGGAAAACCAGGGGGGCTTGGGGGGAGCTGGGGCTGTC